TTATACTAATATATTATATTATTGTTATATATTATTTATATTATATTATTATTATATATTATTTATTTTATATTATATTACTTCTTATATTATTATTATATATTATTTATATTATATTATATTATTGTTATATTATTATATTACTTATTATATTACTATTATATTATATTATATTACTTATTGTATTATTATTATATTATATATATTATCTATATTATATAATGTTACTGTTATTATATGTGTTATTAATATATTATATTATTATATATTGAAACATTGAATAATTATGTTCGTGGCTTAAGCAGCCGCGTTATATTCTCGTCTTAATTTTCACATCCGTGTCTCGCGCGCGGAACACAATCGCGAGTCGGCTAATTGTCTCGCGGCGGCGGGAGAGCCTTATTTTCGAAACTCGCCGATTTCACCGCGTTATCGCGGAAATACATGCGAGATCGCTGCTGAATATGTATCGCGAGGTTTCGCGCAACCAGTTGTTCGTCGAGTCTGTCGGCGCGAGGCAACGGTAATTATAAAGTGGAAATTATTACGCGAACAGTGCGTGACGTCCATGTTGTTTCTCTTTGTACTGAAGATGAGCCTGTGCAGAATCGTTTGGAGGAGGAGGAGAGGCACGAAAGCTCGCAAAGCCGATGAAAACGATTAGATTAATCGGCTAACGAGCAAACGAGCACCCACGCCGACCTTTTGAGAGATTTTCGATGATCGCCGTGCGCGTGAAACGCTGCTCACGTTGAAAAAAATAATCAGACACCGATTTTTATTTCGCATTTTGCGTGGGCGCGGGGAAATAGCTTTGTGTGTGGTTGTTCGGTGGAAATATAAAATCGATGGTCTGCGAGAAATAATATCCAAGTGTTTGACGAGTACTCGGATCAATTAATGACTTCCGTGAAATATCGGAAACCGTGCGTTCTGTAATTTTTGGATTGGAAAGTCGAGAATATAATTTTCTTTTTTTTTTTGTAGGATTTTTTTGTAGAATTTTTATCAGTATGTTGCAGTATTTTTTGGTAGGATTTTATTAATTTTATTAATATATTATTAGTATAATATATAATTAATATATTATTAGTATTATATTTATATTAATATATTATAATTTATATATTTATATATATATTATTTATATGTAATATAATATAATATAATATAAATTTATATATATTATACTATAATATACTATATTATATATTATGTAATATATTATTATATATTATATATTACTATATTAATATATTATATTAGTGTATAATATATAATGTATAATAATTTATATTAATGTTATATAATGTATAATAATTTATAATAATTTATATTAATGTTATATAATGTATAATAATTTACAATAACTTATATTATTGTTATATAACGTATAATATATTATATTATATACTATATTAATATATTATTAGTATATAGAGTTGATTTGATCTTGCTGCAATTAATTGAAGGCCTCTTAACAGAATTTTTTGTGCGATCGTACAAAATTCAAAAGCCCCCAACTCATGCATCATCACGACCCATGTTGTTCCTTAATGGTTTAAAAAGAAAAGAAATGATTCCGACGATTAGTCACTTGAATTTCCAAATCAGATTGCAGGAAATTTCCTCGGCAGGAAATTTCTCGATTTCCACGAACGCATTTGGAAGCGGCGGTCTTGATAATTAGTGGAAAAACGTAGTCTGAATACTCGCGGCTTTCGAGGATCTCTGGTGATCGAGCTGTTAGTCCACGTGAACATTAATACGAATCGCAAGAACGCTTCTTGTCTCAGTTATTCGATTTCTCGCGCGTTGTGTGACAAATATGCATTTTTGTTCGCGCACCTTGACGAGCTTGCGATTTTCAAGAAGAATCCAGGTCGCAGACACGCTGAATTTGACACGGTGAACGTTTACGTGAACTCGTTGAACTGGCGATTAATTCGCCTCACCCCCCTCCCTCCCTTTTTTACAACTTATCGATCTGTATCGGTGGTATTTCGCAAAGGAATTCCAATTCGACAAATTGAATTGCTCGTTTGGAGCTCTCTTCGAACGATCCTTGTTAGGTTCAGGATTTCGATCTCAATTGGCTTTCGTGAAAATAAAAAGCTTTTTTTTTTATCATCTTCTTTATTTTTTCCTCCTTTATTGTCGTACTTGTTTTCAGTTTGTTGTTTCTCTATTTTTATTTTACGAAGCTCTAGCTCATTTAATCAGTAACTTCGATTTATTTATATCGAATCAATTGTTCATTCGACGCAGGAAAGAGGAGAAGAAAATAATTTCATTTGTTCTCATGATATTTCCTTGAAAAGTTTCCTTTCTTTTGTGTTTTTCAGTTCGCGTAATTAGCAGTCGGGATTGGATTAATCGTTAGGATATATTTATTCAGTTCAATTCAAGGTAATTTAATTAACTATCGAGTGGATTCGACGCGGAGCCGCGCTAATTTTACAATGAGAATTATTTGTTGCCGCGCGTAAGATCTGTTTGAAAGATTTGATTGATAGAGGACGAGAAAGTTCCGTAACGAGATCAATGTTGCTTGCTTGAGCATCTTAAGCAGATTTATTAGTAAACTCAAAAGCGATTGTTTAATAAGAAACGTGTCAGAAACTTGAGTGAAATACGACGTGCATGAGTAGAATTGCGCGGAAGAGGTGAACAGCGAGATGGCAAGGGAAAGCGGATTGTCTATGTCAGACACATTTCCCAGTCAATATAACAGGAACTGCGTCTGGCTGTGTTTTCTCTGTTGTACGTTTATACGTCGCTTAATCTGTAAATCTTCTCTCAATTGTTGAATTATTCGAGTTAATTTCGAGTTAACAATCAATCTAAATTCTAAGAACTCTAAATTCTAAAATTCTAAAATTCTAAAATTCTAAAATTCTAAAATTCTAAAATTCTAAAATTCTAAAATTCTAAAATTCTAANAACTCTAAAACTCTAAAACTCCAAAACTCCAAAACTCCAAAACTCTAAAACTCTAAACTTTTGAATTTGAGAATTTAAATAATTAATTTAAATTGATTTAGATAATCTTAAAGACACGATCTATTCTGCAATTTATTCTGGAAAATACAAATTTACATATTTATTCTTATCGTGTCGCGCGCGCACCTCGAAGTTTCACGTAAACGAGGTGAATGGAAAACGAGATACCGCGAGCCAGTTTTCATTTCAAGTCACCAGACAACGTCCCAGATTTAGACCTCGGTGAAACACATCACTGTCACCCAACATTTTCACCTCAAATGTAACACATCACAACCGTCAACAATGCCCGGAAAATAATCGTGAGAAGTGAAAACGATCAACAAATTATCCATCCATCTTCTTCTCGTCCCGAACCGCCTTCTATTTTCTGATTTTTAATTTCACACGATTCATCGGCATTCAACGAGGCAATAACAGCGGAAATCATATTTCACGCTGTGAAATATTGTACGATCTTTCGTTAAAGGTGGTACAATTGTACCGCTGAGTGGAAATTAAATAAAAATTTGCTTCGAAGCGACACGTTTCACGATTTCAGCATTGAAGAATTTCGGTGAAGAATCGAAGCATGTAACAAATTCTTCTCTCTTTGATTCATTCGACTTTCTTCATTTGTAAATCCTAATGAAAGTAGAAATTTATTAATTTTAACAGCTTAGAGAATTAATCCATTAACGCGACGTTGTTTCACTCGCACAATTCTTTTCAATTAGTATCATCAACGAATTATAAAAAGAAAGTTCGATTAGTATTTTATTTTTTCATCTAGATTCTATAATTTTCTGAAGTCTTGGGGAAATCGAAGAGTTTGTAATACTGCTTCGTCCTTATTACAAACAAATAATCGCAATTTAACTTCTCATAGAAAAAAAAGGAAAAATAATTTTTAACCTTGAACGTATGCATCACTGCAAATTCCTACCACTACGTATACCCTACATACATAATTGACGACGCAGGAAACATAGAGTCCTTTCCTTTTTTTTTTTTTTTTTTGGTATCTTCCGGGAGAAAGAAAACGAACACAGAGAAAATGGAAAAACACGAGCTCGCAGTGGAAGGCATCGGTCCGACTTCACGGATCGTTCGAACGGCAAAACGAACTCGGTGAAATTGCGGTTTCCAATTGTCCGTGCACCGCTCGGGATCACGTTCTCGTGGCCAGGAACGTCGTTCTCGCTCTCTGCCGCTCGTTATCCGTTTCTTTTTCCTCCGTGGTCACGAGCCGTTCAACTAGTTGCATAACGCTCTCGAACGGGAAAAATTGATCGGTCTGAAAATTTGTCGCGTTAAAAGACGACCAACGATAACTAAATTTCTGATCGTCTTCCGTGATTGCAACGATTTAACTTAACACCCTAAGCGTTTTGCTTTATTTATTCTGAGAATGTGCACTGGAGTGCTTAATTATTTCCAGGCGATGACGAAAAACACAGTAAATGCACAGTTGCTGTGAGATTGAGTTGAATACAACAAACTATACAAATATAAATTAACTATACAAATGTAACAAACTATACAAATATAAATTAAATTTATTTAAAAAAAAATTAGATATTAATAAATACGACAAACATTTAATTTCTAAATATATATTTATCTTTTTTATTCTACAAAAAAAATTATATATATATGTATATAATGTATATATCAATATAATTGTATTAAAATTATATATATATGTATATAATGTATTTTTATTCTACAAAAAGAATTATATATATATATATATATGTATGTATATGTATATGTATAATTATATATATATATGTATGTATATATATATTTAGATCATTTACTTCGAGATAATTAAATTATTAAAATTAATTAATTACAATTAATTAATTACCCTGATACAAACGGTACAAAATGAATTTTTTTATTTTATACCTTATATAAGAAACATGAAACAAGAAATAAGAAACAAAGATTTTGTTAATAATAATTGTAGTTATCTGGAATTATCACATTGTGCTCTATTTTTCACTTTACAGCTGGTTCAGCAGCCGAAAAAGGTTATTTTGGTCCATGGAGACAGTGCAAGCTACTATTGTACGGTAGAGAAAGATGCGGCCAAGGGGTTTCCAGATTCCAGCCAGTGTGTGAGTTTATTTCACCTATCTTTACACCCCTCAAATCTTCTGCAAATTATACAAAAGTCCTCCTATTTCGAATAAATCGAAATTTTTCTAATTAAACGTTTATAATACAATCGTCAATGTGTCAACCTCGTAGCGTAAAATATTATTTGATTGCTCCAATTTTGTAACTAACGTCGTAAGACCTTTGAACGAATATGTAAAACGTATCTCCATTATTTACAATTCTTACTAAAGCTATTAAACTCCCTCTATAAACGAAATATTTAACCATTCCCCCCTTTTCATAAAACGTATCAAATATTTGAGCCATTTATTCCGCCAGTCCTCGTAAAAAAATTCTCTCGCGAAAGGTCACGGAAGTCTGGCGCGTTCGCAAACAACCCTCCTTTAATACCTTCGTCCGGGAAACACGTCGCTCGAGATATTACCCATAAAATACCCTAAATAAACCAAAACTGCTTGGGGAAACTGCCATCCAGAAACTTGGCAGTGGCAGAGGAGGAGGAGGAGGAGGGGGAGTAACCTTTACCGCGGGAACATTCCTTTTTGTCGAAGCGTAATCGATGGTGCCGGGTGACGAGCAATCGAGCTCGAAGCGTAAAGGTTTTCTACTGTTTCAGTGGCCGTGTGGGTGGCAGGTTTAGCCGCGGCGACTGCCTCTGCCCTTTTGGCGATCCTGGTCGGCCTGGCCGTGCTGCAACTGGCGATGGCCTCCTCGGCGAAACGAGTCATTATCTCGTACAGCACCGCCCTGATAGGGAAAGTCGCTCTCGCCACGTTAGCCAGTGAGTATTATTTCCCGTAGCACAGTGAATTATTATTAAGATTCGCGAAAAAATTTCTGGAAGTGCGTGGAATCTAGAGAAAAGAAGAAAAATAGAGAAATGCGATGAGATATTCAGAAGTAAAAGAAACTGAATTGTCGAGCTTAAATTCTATTTGCACAAATGTAGATCCTCTCATTCTTCGTGTGCACGATATTATGTTTGAATGTTGAAGCTGAATTATAAATTTCTCTATTCCGAAAAGATCCGTTGCAACGAAAGATGTTGAACTTCACTTGTTGACAGTATAAAAATATTTTTCTACTAACATCGCCGTTCCCTTGTTCTGTAAACAGCTAATTGTTTAGCTTCGTTTCATTTCCTAAATTTTCATTTGGAAAAGCTGAATGAATTTGCACAAACGTAATGTCCTCTCACATTTCATTCTTCGCGTGCACGATATTATGTTTGAATGTTGAAGCTGAATTATAAATCTCTGTATTCCAAAAAGATCTGTTGTAACAAAAATTATACAGCTAAGTTTCAATTGTTGACAGTAAAATAATTATTATTATTTATATAAATAAGTATTAATTTAATATTAAATTTACTTTTAATATTTAATAATTAAATTAAATTAAATTTATCTACATTTATTAAATTTAATATTAAATATTGTAAAAATATTTTTCTATTAACATTACCGTTCTCCTGTTCTGTAAATTAATCAACAATGCAATTTTTACATTAACGTCTCTGCCTCTGTTTTCTATTCATTTCTAAAATCAATCAGCTTCCCCATTAATTAACCTAACTAACTAAAACGCGTTCAATGCTGATTATAAATTAATCTCGATCCGATTGAAAGTTCCTTGAATTACCAATCTGATTCGACTGATTCGTGGTCGAGTACAAGATAATTAGATCGCAAACAGATCATTTTATATACAAACTGCGGTCTTTGAAGGAGGATTGTCTGAGAAATGGCAAAGCAGGCGTGGAGTATTAATTGTGCGCGATATAAATAAACGAAAGAGCAAAAAAGAAAAAATGCGAAATCGATTGCTTGAGGATTCAGAAACGTTGTTAATATCATCAATTGAAATCGAACGATCAAAAGATACGTGCGTTGTTATAAATATTCCGTTTTAATTGAGCACACGGTTTGTTACACGTGTCTGTAAATATTGCATAGGCAATATCACGATAGCCTCCCCGGACAGTTCGAATGGAAATGAATTTTAAGATTGAACTTTAATCACGGAAATGTATTCTAATTCTGTTTGTGCGCCATCTCGTCAGTAGTCGACGATGTAACTCGTTTGTTTCTGCTTTCGAATTTATCGCTATTTATTCCAATTTGTGAAATTGGAATTCTTATTTAATAACGAGATCAATGCACGATGATAATTCAGCGATCGTTTCAGCTTCATTTACGAAACTGCGAAACACGTGGGAATTTGAAAGCGTAATTAACCTCTTGCGCTGGAATAACGTGCCACGCACGCCGAGAATTCTTTGTCCCAAAATTGTAATATTTGCTCAGTTTTAAGTATATTTAAGTGATACAATATATTTAAGTGAAGTCCCAAAATTATAATATTTGCTCAGTTTTAAGTACATTTAAGTGATACAATATATTTAAGTGAAACAAAATAGGCAAAATGAATAATAAATTTGTTACTTCTTTCAATAATTTCTATCCAGTGATATCGTACCGACGAGTTCAAAAAGAAAGCGACGAATAAATTGTATACGGTTCGGTCACTCGTTATGGTCCGCAATCGGTTGCCAGCGCAAGTGGTTAAAGGCGTGGAAGTCCTTTCGCACCAGGACGGCGCCGGGGAATAATTTTGCAATAGTCTGACCACGGTAGGATTACCAGTCACTTGTCTACTTACTGGCCTACTTACCCTTACACGAAGAATCGAATATCTGCGGTAGATCTTGTTGCTGTAAAGCGATACGCGCTAAACTCATAGATCGTGCGAGTCGACCGCATTCGATGAATGAATTTTCTACTTTTGCCGTTAGGTAAAAGCTGCCTTGAAAAAAAAGGAGACGTATATTATAATTTTAACAAATTATATATTAAAATTTTTCAAACGTTTCCAACAAACAGATTGACGATTGCAATAGCTTTTCAAAATGCAAATTTCACAAATTAATCGAAAAAATTCTCCATTAATTATATTATTAATAATTGTGCAATGTAACTTCTCTATTTATTTTTGTTTCTCGTTGCATTTCATTGAAACCTATATATTTATCTATATAATGTAAATTTATAAATATAAAATTGTCTTACTCTATAAATATAAAAATTGTCTTTTTATGAATACGCGAATATTATCAATGGATATAGTTTCTCTTTACGAAAAACTATAAAGAACGAATATTTTTTTCTTTTTTCAGCTTCGTTGGCTATCGTAGCGGCGAGTCTGTTTGCCCTACAAACCGATGACAGAGCCAGCAGCTTCGTCATCACGAGGGGAGAAGCGTTCTACATGCAGGTAAGAGCATGCAAATATGTAACATTTCTTTGCTTTTATTTCTACTCAATCTAATCGATTCAGGTAGATGTTTTTAAATTTATTTCGAAAAAATGTTTAAAAAATATTAACATCTCAAGAGAGAATAAAAATCTGCGACATTCAACGTTCTAAATATAAGGGAAAATCCTTATAAGAGAAACTCCCATCATCTGTTTTCATCGTGTTGTTCATTGTTCTTCATATATCTTTATAATCAACATTTTCTGTAATACTTCCCACTCTATCTTCACCGCGCATACGTATGCAAATTTATAGACACGATCTCATTTACTTCATCTAATGACCGCCCACTGTTTCTTAACCTATATCGTTCCCATCATGCAAAACTACTTCCACTTTGACTATTGATCTTTAATGATATATATAAATGAGTATTATTGAAGTATACACAATTACCAGTGGTATTTATGTCTATAAATCTATATTAAAAGAGTAGAATCTAAACTAAATTTCGATATTTTACACATCGATATATAAAAGATACAATTTTTTAAATCGTATCGTTTAAACAAATGGTTTCATTTTGCAAAATAGTATACACCGTTAAATTCGTCCTTGAAAAAGCACCAATTTCATTACAGAAAGATTGTATCTTCAATAATCTCCGAGATGTTTGACAAAATATGTCCTGTCACCTCCAACTTTGAGAGTAATTTTTACCCCTTTTTTAACCACTTGCGCTGGCAACTGATTGCGGACCATAACGAGTGACCACACTGTGTACAATTTATTTGTCGCTTTCTTTTTGAACTCGTCGGTATGATATCACTAGATAGAAATTATTGAAAGAAGTAATAAATTTATTATTTGTTTTGCCTGTTTTGTTTCACTTAAGTTATACTTAAAACTGAGAAAATATTACAATTTTGGAGCAAAAAAATTCTCGACGTGCGTGGCACGTCATTCCAGCGCAAGAGGTTAAACATCGACGATTGTCGATTAAAAAAAAAAGAAAAAGAACGGGTTGAATGTTCCGGTGATTGACACTTCGATATGTATTTCTACATTTCTACGTCTTTAAATTGTTCATAAATGAATGAAAATCCGCGATCTAGCAAACCGTGGCTTCTCTCTACGCGAAAAATCAGCGCACGCAGAAACACATAAAATATCCGGAATATTGTAGTTATTGCAACATCGACACAACAAATCTCGCAAGTTAGAAAGGATCTACGACCGAATCGGATTCAGAATTCTTCTACAGTAATGAATAGATTAGGCGTGACAAGTTTGACAATACAATTATATCTCTCTTCGTCCCTCAGTTTCTCCAATGTCTGAACGTCTCCTCTCGAAAACCTCATCGATTCTCCGTTCCGCGCATGTTTCGAGGTATTAACCTCCAGTCAATCAACTCGTGTGGAATTTTCCTCGAGATCGTCCATCAAGCCAGTTTCCTTCGGGATCTCCTTCGTCAGCATAACGGTGAGCGATTCATCCGCGATTTTTCGACGATACGAAACACACAGTATCGGGGATCGTGTTACATCCTCGACGAAGAGGACGACCTGTTGCTCCTATCTCTTCGAAGGAAGAGAAACCGTTGCGCCGGTTTACCTGCCGAGATACGCTGGGCCATCGGTCGTCCCGATAGCGGAACGATGATTTATCGCGACAATTTCCTGACGAAGCCACTCGAGGCCAGATGTTGCGCCTCCGCGAGGAGATTAGGTTCGGTCCCGGTGGGACCTTTTCCGAACAGATGCTACCTAGCGGTTACGGCGCGCGATAACGCGGTAACTCTCGGTTCTTATAAAAGTCCGCTGTGTCGTGTATAAGAATGGGGCACATGCCACGTGATACGTATGTATGTGTCTCTGTATGTGTGTGTGTATGTATGTATGTATGTATGTACTTCAAGAGTCGACGCAGATGTGGGATAACGCTGGTTATTGGAGTCTCGTGATGAAACGTGAATGACAGCCGGTTGTTTAGTATAGTTATTAGAGGTGGTTCTTCTAGATGTGCAATTAATTGGCGATTGGTTCTCTCGATTTGTTATTACAGGTAATTCAGTTTATATAACATATTATATATTATATATAATATTAATATTAATATTTTATATAATATAATATAATATTAATATTATATATAATATTTTATATTATAACTTTATATAATTATAATATATATACAATATATTATATAATATTATATATATATATATATGTGTGTGTGTATTATACGTGACGATATTTTATTTAATTTAGTAAACGCGCGTATAAACGAGTTTTGTATTCATGATATGTATAAAGAATGATACAGAAAAAGACGATACGAAAAAAATGATACAAATCGTATGACGAACAATTCAGAGTTACGATGAACAGATATTAGTGATAACACACAATGTAGATAATGGTCTTTGATTTTTACGTCGAATGAAATTATACTTTTATAATTATAATTATAATATTTTTAATTTAATTAGAATCTTTCTAATTTAATTAGAAATTAATTTTCTTTTAATTCAATTAAATTTTAATTATAATTTTCTCTGCCATTTTGTATTTACGAGAATTAATAATATTAGTATTGAGTAGTAGTTATTTACGAGAATTAATAATATTAGTAGATTGAGACTGTCAGTTGTAGTTTCCGATTTTTACATTGAATGAAGTAATATTAATTTTTTTCTACCATCTTGCGTAAGAGTTTGCCAACCAATAACATTAAGGAACTGACAAGTTACGATTCCTCTTCTGTAATATTTGATTAATTTCGACGTTTCGAATAAAGTAACTCCAGCTTCCTCCAAGTGTAAATTACTATTGTCAAAGATACGAATAGTCCTAATTTGGAAGTTTGTGCAACTTTAAATTTCAGTTAAAGTAAAAGACAATTTCAAATAATTTGCAGAAAATTTCATTTGATTTATATTAACTTGTCACAGTCGTATTTCATCGCGAATTTCATCAAATGAATTTATACGTATTGATTTAGCTGTAAATTTCTGAATAACCGTTTCCTTATTTTTTTTTTTCTTTTTTACGCAAATGGCGTGACTGTACTTGACGTCAATAATTAATTTGTAGACTCGTTAACGAGGAATTCTCACTTGTAGATATAGCAAACTTCGTGATCTAACGGCGTCAAGACGAATTTGCATTTAACATAATGATAGTGTGCCAGCTGAGCGGAAATATCGCGGTTATTGGAACACCGTGAGCGATAAGGATGACGATGACGATGATGACGATATGCCTCGATTATTCGTTCGTATCGCGAACCGATGAGTCGAGTTTCTCTTTGATCGTAGGCAAGTTATTACAACAGTAATCGATGGAATGACTGATCCGCTCAGATTGAAGCCTTCGGCTTCTTGTCACCGTGTCTTGTAATTTTTCACGTTACATTTCATTCTTGAGTTGACATTTGGAACAGTTAGCGCGTGTAACTTTCTGAAAGAAAGCAGAGAAATTATAATACAATGATTCCTTACAGTTGTATATATACTATGAAAAATATGCCATTTAAATAGAGTAATTTTCTATAAAAAGAAATATGATAAATAAATAGGATAAAGTAAGAATATTTAAATATTTTTAATACTTTATTCTCTCTTTGTCACTGATAATGTGAACATTACTTTTTGGTTTTATTTCTTTGATTAAAAAGAAAAAAAAGATCCTATAAATAATTTTATGACTATTCATCTATAATATTTGTAATCTTCTTTTCATCTTATCTTTACATGACCTATAGCTTTATTTATAGGCATTTATAACTATTAATTAGTTTATAATAAATACTAATATTATTATATTATATTATATTAATATTTAATATTATTATATAAATATTATAATAAATTTTTTATTATTAATTAGTTTATAATATATAACTGTTAATTGCACTATGCCATATATTAACAAATTATTACATAATATATTAACATATTATTACATAATTATATAGATATTATAATTATATAATATATTATTACAATATTAATATTTATATTTATATTTATATTTATAATTAATATTAATATTAATATTGTAATATTGCGAAATATTACGAAATATTATCTTTCCGAGATGAAACTTCGAAACGCAAACGGTACGATCGTTGCAAATATGAAAATTGCTGGTGAATCATATTTAAAAAAAAAAAAAGGACATTGCGAAATATAAAGTATCGAGAGAAATAGAAATATAAAATATAAGAGGGAATACAAAACATTGAGAGAATGGAAATATAAAATATGAGGGAGAAATGGAAAAAGAAAGAGACTTATCTCGTATAATAGGAGGAAGCATCGTTCGTTATCATTAAAAGATCTTCGCAGAAAGATCTTCGCGTACGTGCAGGAATCGGAAACAGTATCTCTTAACGAAGTTGCATAATATTGAGGTGATGCAATCACGCTGTTCCCAACAACGTAATGTAATTAAACACCCATTACGTTACATCCTCCGCGACTCGGCTGAATTTATACTTGTCTACGGTACATCCGTATAAATCCATTGAATAATTTTCTTAACCGCGTTAGATCCAATTAATTACGCGGCAGATTTTCTGTCGAGCGGATCGAATCAATTATTGATTTGATAATTCTACTGGTATACATAATTCTCGTAATAATACAACACGTACGTAACACTAAGTCTACGTGCATCTGCAAAATTCCGAATGAAATATAGAGAGAAGCAAAATGTTTTAAATATTTTAATATTTTATTAATTTATTGTGTGTTACTATTTATTTGTTAGCCAAAGCTGTACTAACTTTGGAATGGTTAGGTATTTCTTAAATTTGTTTAGTGAAGGTCTACTACTATATTTTTATCAGGAACTATACTGTACAATTTATATACTACTGTATAATTATAGATAATAGATAATATAAACATATAATATATAATATAAATATATGTATTTAATATATTATTATTATTATTATTATATGTTATTAATTAAATTATTATTATAATATATTATTATTGTATCGTA